ATTCATTGTTTTCAGGTTGAGGACCTTGCTCGCTTATCTTTGGACAAACCTGTCTACATTGATGTGGATGATGGGAGGAGGAGGGTATATACACACTCATATTTTTTCCTACTAATATTTGTTTAATGTTAAGATCATCTTGTAAGTCTGTTTGAGTATATGGTGCAATTCAGGTTACAAACGAAGGGCTGCAACAAGGATACTGTGTTGTCCCAAGCGCTAAGAGATTTCTTCTCCTTTATTCATTCTTGAAGAGGAACCTGTCAAAGAAAATAATGGTTTTCTTCTCATCTTGCAACTCTGTCAAGTTTCATTCCGAGCTACTTCGCTATATCAAGATTGAATGCCATGATATTCATGGGAAGCAGAAGCAGCAAAAACGAACTTCTACCTTTTTTGAATTCTGTGAAGCAAAAACAGGCATCCTGTTATGCACGGATGTCGCCGCACGTGGTCTTGATATTCCTGCTGTGGTATGTTGCTTCACCTCCTTGCACCTGTTACCAGTACAGTCCTTGGTCTATTGGCTGGAATCTGTATATGAAATCGGGGGATAGTGAATCTGTTTCTCCTTTTCTTTTCTGAGGTTTTCCAGTGTTGGGGATTTTTTTTTTGGGGGTGGGGGGGGGGGTATTGTAAAAGAGATCTTCAATCAAAGAAGAAAAATGTAGTCGGTTTTTTTTTTAGGGGGGGGGGTTGGTGGGTGTAAAGAGTATCTTCAATCAAAGAAGAAAAATGTAGTCGGTGCTCAATTCATTCTGCGACGATTATCTTGTCGTGCTATCATATGTAGTTCTCTATTTTAATTTTAAGTGTTATTAGAAGTAGAATGTTTTTACTGTACAACTTCTAAAGTGAGAAAAAAACAGTGACATGTTCCTCATAACTAGTTGAAATATATATCTGACAGCTCTCTCCCTCTGAAAGATAGTAATGGGAAGTATTGATTCTTGTTATGCCCCTCTTTCCAGGATTGGATTGTGCAGTTTGATCCCCCTGATGAACCCAAGGTATTAGACGCTTTACTTCAAATTTGGTTACGAAGGGAGAAATTCTCGTTCCTTATGATTTGATATGCAAACCTTTACAGGAGTATATACACAGAGTTGGTCGAACAGCACGTGGGGAAGGTGCTAAAGGAAATGCATTACTATTCTTGATTCCGGAAGAGTTGCAGTTTCTCAAGTACCTCAAGGTCTCTTCACAATCACACTTTTAAATTTACAGAATAACAAAACATCTCTTAGAATTCTAAACGTGTCATCAGAAGCATTGCTCCCTTGAAGTAGGAGTTGTTGTCCTTGAAATTTGAAAATATATTTACCAAGTATAAGCGAAATATACTTAATTTTATCTGGTAAAAAGATCGGGCTAAAAGTTGGAGCTCGGCAAACTGATATTTACCATTTTGATCGTTAATTATTCTAGAATTTTTTTGGCTTTTCTTTAAAACTGTTTCCTGATGATTTCGTGTTGTAATTGTTGAGTTTTTCAGTGTTTCATATATAATTTTGTTAAATTGTGAGTTTGCTTTGATAGTCTAATGTGCATATATGCATGTGCTTTTACGACAGGCGGCAAAAGTGCCTGTAAAAGAATATGAATTTGATCATAAGAAGGTGGCCAATGTGCAGTCTCTCCTGGTAAATCTGTGACAGCTGGTTGTATTTTTAAAAAAAAAAGTTATTTAGCCAACTGAGTATGTTTCTTTTAGCTTATGAGGACTTGGTGTTTAAAGAATGCAACTATTTATTTCAGGAAAAATTGGTCGCAAATAACTATTACTTGAATCAGTCAGCTAAAGAGGCATATAGGTCCTATATTCTAGCATATAATTCTCATTCCATGAAGGAAATATTCAACGTTCACCGACTTGATCTACAGGTACGTGATCTTGCTTCCTTTTCCAATGTTATGGTGGATACATTCTCATAGACATGTAATATTTAAGAAATAAGATAACAGATGACTCTAGTTATAAACTATAAGGACTTTCATTTCAGTGCAATACCTTTTTAAATAAGGTAATATGGTTTCATCAATTAGGATACAGAGGGATGAAAGAAAGACATGGTTATTCTGGTGTGTAGGACGCATTTATGTCCTCCCATAACGCGCATGTAAACAGTGAAGTTAGGCTAAAAGCCAAAAAGTTGTGAAGTTAGGCCCCTTATAAGCACAATGCTTGTACAACAAAGAGAGATGAAATTGTGGCGTAAGCAAAAATTTTGGACAGAATATGCAGAAAGAGGACAGAATATACAGAGAGTATCACATATGCTTTGCAGTAAAGAATAATAACATGGAGAATGTTTTACAAACTCTCTAGCTAGACTTTGATGGTAAAGGTACGGTGGGCCTGTCGCTCTAGGAATTGATTAATTAACTCTATTATGGTTTCATACATCAGGTTATATTTTCTTGATCAAACAATTGAAACTACTGCCGGTTAATACATATGAAAAGTGTGGTTTCTCTAAGCCTTAGTTGTGTGCTTGCACTACTATAGCTATTTTTTATCTGTGTTCATCCCTGAGAGGAGTATTTTGCCACACTTATTTGCTTCAGCCAATAATCTTTTTACTGTTGGGCCTGGCCGAAGTTAAATTTGCATTTTCTTTGAATTAGGGTATTCATCCATGTTACTTTATTACGCCTTTAAAATTTCAGACCTACAGTTCCCCTTTTAAATAGGAGTAGTATTAACCAATTCAGATCTTCTAGCTTAAGGGCGAAAGGAATCATTTAGAAAGTGGTACTGTCTTCCTGTACCTGGTAAGAATTTCAGTAGTGCTTTGTATGGCACTGTCTCTGATTTGACTTTATATGGCACTGTTTAGTGTTTAAAGTTGCCTCTTACTCTGTTGCTGAACTGGTGGGATGTGACACATAGGGCATGCCATATTTGCTATCTTAGGATAGGATATTATATTCTACGCACTTATTCCAAATGCTGCTATGATCCAGAAAGTACTAACGGATAAAATGGTGATTGGCAGGCTGTAGCTTCTTCGTTCTGTTTCTCTAATCCTCCAAAAGTACACCTCAACATAGATAGCAATGCGTCCAAGTTCAGGAACAAAAAGCGCAAAGTTGAAGGAAGCCGAAATGGGTTCAGTGATAGCAATCCTTACGGAAAGAAAGGAAGTGACGATACAAGGCAGTTTGTAAGATATTAAGAGATAGATCATATGCAGCAGCAAAGGTTTCTGCACCAGATGCATGTTAACATGTATAATTTTTCTCTATTGTACTTTCTATGTGGAAGAGTTCATAGTTGAGGCATTTTGCTTTCTTATGGCTATGGCACTTCGAATTTTCTGGATTAATTCCACATTTTTGTCCTGGCATTGCCAAAGTATTTTCTTGTTTATTTATTTAGTTATGGGACGAACGATTTTCTTATGATAAAAGATTGATTATGGCGAGGTGGGTTAAATTGTTTTTTTTTCCCTGTCATTTTGCTTAATCAGCTTATTACTGGAAAAATATGGTACATGTTGCTTTGTTTTATAAAATATGGCTTCAAAACTTATTAGAATGCTTTTCTATTTCTCAATTTTGACCGAATACTATTAGAAAATGTTGCAAAAACTGGAAAATAGGAAAATCTCTTTTGATTTTTCTTTATTTATAAAACAAGTGTTACGTTAATGTTTCACGTCAATAACGATTAGTGTAGAAAGATTTAACTTGTGCGAAAAGATGGTAGGATTAGAAGTTTTTGCTTAAATTTATTTTAAAAACAGTTATCATACACGTCCTTTTAAATTGGAACGCTCAAGGCTATTTTATTAGAATTAATCCTCCGGTGAATTTATTCCTTTCATTCATGATATAGATAAATTAATTTTATAATTTCAAAAGGAGAGTTTTTTTTATGCTGTAAAATCTTTTTACCTTTCGTTGTTGCTACGTGGTGCTTAATAGGGATATCAATGGTTCGGTTCGGCCGGTTATTTTATAAAATTTATACCATACCAATTTTTCAGTTATTCTATTATGTATAACCAAAATTAGACTTCCCGAAACTGTCCCAATCATGTCGGTTTCTTTTCGGCATCGGTACGGTTCGGTTAATTTTCGGTATTTTTTTAAATATCATATAAAATTCAACAGTAGAAATAGGATGCAATAACATACGTTCTTTTATAGGACTTAACAAAACTCTCTAGACATTTTTACTGTTTAAAGGGTGATGAATTAAAAAA